GGTGAATATAGTGCCTGCCTGGCAAGCTCAAGGTTCTTGAGTTCAGTTTCCAGTACTCCCCCTGTCCCCCCCAAAAAAAAAAAAAATTGGTAGGTAGAATGAATTAAGAAAATGCAGATAGAGGCACAGCAATTTTGGATTTGTGGAAAAATAAAAATATCTGTTCTAAATGGGAGAATTTAAGAAAACTAGCTTAAGGGGTTTATCTCAACAAAAAGCTACATTGATGAGCTGTTTAAATCTATAAGTAATATATAATTTTGATGTTACCTACATTGATCCACAGCATAAAGAAGGAAGAAAAGCTTCCTGTTGGTTTATAAATTTAGTTTAACACTAATATTAAAACATGAGAGGGCTGGGGAGATGGCTTACTAGAATAAGCACTTCCTTGGCAAGCATAAGGGTCTGAGTTCAATCCCCGGTTCTGCCAAAAAAAAAAAAAATGAGAAAAGTACAGCAGCCTCCCAGCATTGATGAAAAGCTGAGTTAACAATGAATAGAATTATGACTATATATTAAAATTAATACCTTTACCAAATATGGTTTGTGAGAATGTGCAGTTATTTCGTTATTAGGAAATGTTTCAGTAAGATTTATTTATTTCTAGTGGAACTGGGCATTTATTGTTTTCATAAACTAAAGAAAAACTTCCTAATTTAAAGGGTTTTTTTGTTTTGTTTTTGTATCTAAGTACAAATTTAACTTTATTCTTGGGTTAAGAAATCCCTGGTAAGAGAAACACATGAAATTGATCAACAGGTTAGACCATGCTTGGCATCATGGAGAAAAATAAAATATGAGGCATTCCAGGTGAACACAGGAGGCAGTTAATGCTAATGCTGCTGTTATTATCTTTTTGGAAGAGAAGGCAGTTACTTATGGGTACCTAGGAAAGCTGGGAATTTTTTTATAACAATATTTGTTTTGGGGGGGCCAGGGAGATGACTCAGTGGAATAAGCGCTTTCCTGGCAAGTGGCAAAGGCCTGAGTTCAATCCTCGGTTCTACCAAAAAAAACCAACAGTATTCGTTTTCAAACCTAGTGCCTTGATAATAGTTTTCTTACTGTAATCAAGTAGTAGTGGAGAGAATTTACAACAATAAAGGGAATTAATAGATACAAGCCAGACAGTGGTGGCAAACCTGTGGCACATACTACTTCGTTTTCTATTAAGACAAAAGATGTTAATGTACAAATTTTTTTTCTGTTGGCATTTAATTGCAATGTTGACATTTTGTGATAAATAAGTGGGTTTTGGGATGCAGTTTGGGCACTTGTCTCTAAAGGTTTGCTGTCACTGAACAAGAACAGTGCTTCATGTGGCATGCTTGCCTTCCTTCCCTCCCTTCTCCTGTTCAGCAAGTATTTCATTGAGAACCCACAGTGGTGCAGGTGTCTCAAGTCCTGAGGCCACTCACTCCTGAGTGAGAAAGAGCTGTGATTCCTTCTTTTGTGGAGTTTTTAAAAGGACCACTTACGTTAGTTACACTGCTGCTTAAGCACTAAAAGCCACTGTGCCATTTGTCTGTGTCACCTATTCATTTCATATCATAGATTCATGTAATAGTCTTTTTTCTTGCTAATATAATGTCACATATACAAAAAGTAGAATACTTTGGCTCACTTCTGGTTGAAGGGTGAGGACTGCATCTGATGACTCCTTTTGCTGGCAGTCTCAAGGTGGCATGGGGGAAGAGACAGGTGGTGTGTTCAGTTTTTCTCTTTTTATAAGTAAGTCTGTACATCGTTATCTACTGCCGTGCTGTGGATTGAACCCAGCGCCTTGCACATGCTAGGCATGAACTACATCCTTTTGCCTTTATATTTGATTTTGAAATAAGTTGCCCAGACTTGCTTTGAACTTACATCCTTCTGCCTCTGCCTCATGAGTAGCTGGTACTACAGGTGTGAACCACCACAGCCAGCTTTATTTACATACATTGTTTTTAAGAGATGGAGTATATTTATGTTGTCTGGCCTGGGCAGGTAGGCTCTAGCAGTCCTCCTGCCTCAGCTGTTTGAGTAGTTGCAACTATAAGTATATTGCATGTGTTGAAGTATCTACCTTCCTAGTATGTCACAGTGGAGATTAAACTCCAACACAGACTTAAGAGGAGATAACCCATGTTCACATCATGTGTAGTATTACAGTACTCTACATTATTTTTTCACATTGTTACTTTTATTTTAATTATGATTATTATTATTTTGTATTTTAGGGAAGGGTCTACAGGGTGTTCATTAGTGATCTACCTGTTTACATCCTCCCAAGAGCTGGGATTATAGGTGTGTGCCACCATGCCCAGTCTCAATCACTATCTCAGTGTGCCCCGGGGGTGGTGCCCAGCACGGCAGGCCCAGGGATTGAACCCCTGGTCCCTGCACCTGCTTGCAGGCACTTTAATCTGCTGAGCTATTTGGCTGGCCCTTCACATTGTTACTTTTAATACTTATTTTAAAATGGTTTCAGATTTATAGCAAAATTGGGAAGATGGTGGAGTTCCCAGATATACCACACTCAGTCTCCTATTTATGTCTTATGTTGGTATGATACATTTGTTGTAATTATTGAACCATATTTTCTTAGCTTTTACTGTCTTTTTCTGTTCCAAAAATCTCACCCAGGATATCGTATTGCATTTGTTACATTGCTTGAAGTTCCTCTTGACAGTGAGTTTGTTTCTTAGACTTGTTTGTGATTTTCATGGAAGTTTTGAGGATTGGTAAGGTATTTGAAAAAGCTTTTCCCATTAAGTTCTATCTGTCTTCCTCATTGTTCTGTATTTTGGGCAGGAAGATTACAAAGGTGAAGTGCTATTTTCATTGCATCACACTTAGGGCAGGTGCTGTCAGCATTCTGTTTGCTAAATCTAACCCCATCAGTAGGAACTGAACACCGTTAACCTTGACTAAAGTGGGGCTTGTCCAGTCCCGTGCACCTTGCCCACATCCCATACTATACTCTTTGAGAGGAACAGAACCATGCCATCAACACTTCAGAGAGGAGAAACCTATGCCTTTACTACTGTGAGGGCAAAGTCTCTATAGAAATCCAAAAATTCTTCCATGTGGGAGATGTCTTTTCTCCATTCACTTATTTTTATCAGTATGGAGAGATGCTCAAATTGTTCAAGTTTTGGCCTTTGGAAGCTTTTATACTTGATTCTTGTGTCCCTTCTGCATGTTCCATCAACTCCCCCATCCCTATTTTTTTGTTTGTTTGCTTGTTTTTGAATTAGGGTTGTGCTGTTTGTGCAATCTGTTCTGATCTTGAACTCACTGTGTAGCCCTGGTTGGCCTCCTGATCCTCCTGCCTCAGTCTCCCAAGTGCTGGGATTGTAGGAGTGTTCCACCACTCCTACTCCATCCCTTTTGGCAGTACTAGGAATTGAAACCAGGGCCTTTGCACTGAGCAACACCTCCCAGCCCTTTGTTATTTTCAGACAGAGACTCACTAAGTTATACGGGCTAGGCTCGAACTCGCGATTCTTGTGCTACAGGCCCAGATGGGTGCTTTGGTATAAACCTGTGATCCCAGCAGCTTAGAGAGGCTGAGGCAGGGGGATTACTAGTTGGGGGCCATCACCATAAATCAAAAAGGAGCTACAAATGAAGCTCCATACAAAGGCCCCCTACTTTGAATTTCTAGTACATACTACGAGAGAGGGAGAGGGACAGGGAGGAGGAGAGATGAGATGAGATGAGATAGGTTTCAGGGTCATGTATATTTCTTGTCTTAGTCCTATAATGAGCCATTTGTCTGGATCTGGGCTCTAAGTGTGTCTTGCTGCTTGTTTCTAGGGTGTCAAGAGACTTTAGCAGAGCAAGGAAATAACATGTACATATACAAACCCCCAAACTTCTTATTGGTCTTCCCCCATAGTACTTCAAGAAAGCACCATGGGAAATTAGTTTCTTCAGTGGATCTTTGCTTTTTATTATCTTTTAAATTTATTTATTTATTTGGTATATGGTCTCACTATGCAGTTTGGACTTGTAGCGATTCTCCTGTCTCAGCTCCCCCAGTGCTGGGATTACAGGCATACATCACCACGCCTGGTTTTGGTGGCTGGCATGGTATGCCCAGGGTTCTGGGGCCAGCATGGCATATGGTACTGGGGATGGAACCCCAGTCCTTGTGCTTGCCAGGCAGGTGCTTAGACTGCCAAGCTATCTCCCCAGCACTTTGTTTTTTAGTTTAGTGTTTTGGTTATCAACTACCAAACCTGAACTTTTTGAAATGAGTGCAAGGCTTTCTGCCTGCCAGGCAAGCACTATACCAATAAGCTACATTCCTAGCCCTGTATTCCATTTTGAGTCAGGATCTCACTAAACTGCCCAAGCCTAGCTTCAAATTTATGATCTTTTTGCCTCAGTCTCCTGACTACCTGGGATTACAGATGTGTTTTGTATGTTTGGCTTTTTTTCTTTATGTAGTAGTTCTTATGAATTATATTAGTGTATAGTGAAGATTTTAAAAAGATTTGGCTTTTTTTGTGTGCTAGGGTTTCAGTATGTAGTTCAGGCTCACCTTGAACTCGCTTTGTAGCTTAGGCTGGCCTCATATTTGGAGCAACCCTCCTACCTCATCCTCTTGAGTGCTAGGATCACAGGCGCATCCCACTATGCCTGGCCAAAATTTTAGCCTTCTCGGCAAACCTGGTTTCAAAATGCCAGTTAAAATTCCTTCTTAGTTATATAAACTTGCAGGTCAGTTTTAGCATAAGATTCCATTTCCTCATTTAGTAGCATGATGGAACCTGGCTCTTAAATTCTACAAAGTTCCCTCTTACATAGGAATATTACTGCATTTAACCTTTTCTTGCTGGTTTAAAGAAGCCAGTCCAGATTTGTTTGCTTTTTTATGAAGTTCAGTAGCTGCCATATATATTTAAAATTTTTACTAGTGGCTTTTTCATGTAGAAATTTTTTTTATATATATTTAGTACAGGGTATACAGGATCTCACTATACAAATCGTACTCCTCCTGTTTTCAGCCTCCGACATTCAGGAAATACAGGTATGTGCCACCACACCCAGTCTCAAATGCCAGTTTAGCATGCCCCGGGGGCAGGGCCAGCACAGCACACTGAGATTGGACCTCAGTCCCTGCATCTGCCTAAGCAGGCACTTTAATCCCCTGAGCTATCTGGCCAGCCCTAGAATTCCTTATTTCACTATATTCATTCAAGAATATATGGATATCTGGTTTATATTTATGCTAGATATTAGAGATAGAAAAGTAGACAGTGTTGTCCTCAGCCTTGTTGGAGCTTTTTAAAAATTTATATTTTTATTAGTATGCATTTGCACTACATAACGATGACAGTCCTCTTGGGGAATTGGTGTGTGTACAGGACACATCTCAATTCTGTTTGTCTTCCCATCCATGCCTTGGTCCCCTTCTCCACTTGCAAAAGCTCTATCTCCCTCTTTAATGTTCTCTGTGGATTTTGTTCATTGTTTATATTTTGAATTTCTGATACTTAGGCTTTATTGGCTTCATAGTGATACTAAAAACCACTTAGAAACTACTTTTTTCTCTTTGATACCGGGGATTGGACCCAGGACCTCATGCTAGGAGGCAAGTGCCCCACCACTCAACTACCTCCCTACCTCTTTTGAGACAAGGGTCTCGCTGTGTAGCCTAGGCTGGCCTTCTTGGCTTTCAGTATCCTTTTCATTTTGTTATATGTGATAACTTGGAACACTGTTTAGTCAAGGGCTTGAACCCAGGCTTAGCTGCAAGCTGGAGTGTTTTTTACTGATCCAATGTATAGAAATATACTTGGCATAGAGTAAACTCCAGTATTTGCTGTTTGATACTATTGTTTTGTTTTGTCTTTGAGACAGTGTCCCACTGTGAAGCTTAGACTAGCCTTGAGCTCACTTTGTAGCCCAGGCTGGTCTCGAACTTGCAATAATTCTCCTGCCTCAGCCTGCTGAATGCTGGGATTACAGGTGTGTGCCGCCATGCCCAGCTTCCCTCCATCTCTTGATCCCCTTCCCATTTGAGAAAGATCTCCCTACTTCCTTTTATCTTACGTTTTATATTTTGGGTTTCTCATAAGAAATTTATTTCATGTTACATTACAACCTCAAAGCATATCTTTTCGTACACATAAGTTTATCCTTTTTGTGGCAGAGTTATACCCCATTGTGTGCAAATGTTGCATTTTCTCTATCCATTTCTCTGTTGATGGGCAGATAGGCCTCATTTAAGAATCAGCATTATGTTCTATAGAAATAGGTATGCATATGTCACTATACTATGTCTTTAATCCTTTTGGGAAGATACCTGCAAGGGGTGTACCTAGGTTGATATCAATAAATTCATCTTGGACTTCGTCTCCCTGCTTTGGATATGGCGAGTTTACACTTCTGAAGAGCATGCCTTCAAACCAAAGAAGACAACTGCCAGCCAGGGCTCATTTATAAAGTTGATTGACTCTGGGGACAGTTAGAGATCACTGGTCAAGCATAAGTTTTCTTAGGACCACTACAGAGATGTTGATGTAAAGGCTTGGGCGGAATATGTAGTGGAATGGGCTGCAAAGGACCTGTGTGGTTTCCTTACAACCGTTATTTTGGTCCTTACTTCACTGTTCCTAGCAAGTGCGGTCTTGTCCTGGAAATTGGCCAAGATGATTGAAGCTTGGGAGGAGGAACAAAAGAAGAAACAAAGACATCAAGAAAATATTGCAAAAGCTAAAGACTGAAAAAGAGTGAAGAGATGAACAGGCTATGCAAGCAAAAAAAAAAAAAAAAAAAAAAGTCATTTGGGAAATGACACAGCTTTGGAAGGGCCCCATAAGGTTTCTTTGTACTTTATGGAAGTTATTACTGTCCATGTAGAAGAATCATTCTGGAATCTGACCTCGATACTGTAGTAACTTTTAGGCCTGGGCATAGATGTTTGTTGGTGACCACTGGCAGTTAGTATACATTCGTAATGATTATACTGGTTGAGCATCCTGATGCCGAACCCAGAATACTCTGGAATCCCAAACTTTGTGCCCATGGATGTGGTGCCATGAGTGGACAACTCCACAGCTGACCTCTGATGGGTCTCGATCAAAACACAAAGGCACTAAAAACGTTTTTTCAGGCTATAGGAAACATGATTGCTTTAGGATGTCTGACATATATGCAAATACTCCAAAATGTGAAAACATATAAAACCTTTCTGGTTCCAGGCATTTCAGGAAAGGAATATTCAGCTTGTAATACAAATTCTTTGGCACTCACTTAGTGATTTGCCATTTTTTTCACCTATGTTCTTTTTTTTTTTTTTCCTGTTTTAAAATACAAATACCCTGCAGAAACAAATGACTTTTTAAATTCTATTCAATAATGGTTTAAAAGAGTCCTGTACTTTTAAGAATGTTAAAGTCAAATTTGCCCTCTTTGAAGTGAAAGTTTGCTTGCGCTTAAAAGAGACAGTATATTAATCACATGTTTCTTTTTAAATCATTACTTCCTGGAATCATTCTTTTTCAGAGTAATATTAACAAGTACATCTATTTCTGATTTTAGCTTTTCAGACAACTGGTTATCAAGACATTCTGCATTTTTTTTTTAAAACCTATTTTTTAAAAAACTGTCTTGTTTTGCCTGTGTATAGTACCATCTGCTAGATGTAATAATTTTTGTACTTATAAACACTGCCACTTTCTTAGAGATGAGTTGTTGAGTAACGCTGATCTAAAACTTGCAGTAAAAATGCCAAACACTGCAATACATTGCATTTTTTTTCTTTGCTAAAACTGAAATATTCCACAGTTAAAGTGTCAAAGTTAATATTCCAAGTTAAAATGTATTATCAGATAATTTGCTCATTATATAGATAACACTTGTTTTTCTATTCCATTCTTTGTTTTAACTTTCATGGTAATGACCTCCTGTACTTCTGGTCAGACAGGTTGAGGTAAAGAAACCACTCTGTTTTTGTTTAAGGAGCTCTAAAAGAGTTAACCACTTAACAGTATGTAAGCCATACTGCCTAAGTGGTAAAGACCTAAAAGTAGGAAAAATTTGGTTGGGCATAATAGTAATTGCATGAACAGGATAAATTATTTTAAAATAAGGATGTGCTATAGTTAGGTCTAGACTAAAAGATTTTTCTATTAACTATAACCAGAACAGTCAACTATTAAACATGACTTTTCTAAATGTATGCTCCAGTAATTTTATTTACTATAGCATTTAATAGCTTATTAATGTTTACTGTACCTCTGATGATACATTTTCAATTAGTCATTATCCAACAGCTCTAATTTAAAAATGAAATATGAAATAAATTTGATACTTTTTTATTAAAAAAATAAATTCATCTCTTAACACATTCTCACTGGCTTGAGCCAAAGTGGCACTATGGTTCAGAGCCAAATGGCAGTGAGATGTGATTATAGCCCAGCTGTGAAAGTGTTAAGTGTAGATTTGTATGATTGGCTTTCCCTCATGACTCTTCAGCTCAGAACCAACCCCTCCATATATTTATAAATCTTGTATATTTTATGATCTATGAGGGACATTGGTGATGGGAAGAGACTGTCCTCAGGGTTAGCTGTTTTCTTGTTTTTGTTCTTTTCGTGCTGGGATTGAAAGCATTTCCTAATTTCTAGAGATAGTCAACAACTTGTCATGTGAGCCTATCTTGCATATACAAAGCAGCCAATCCTGACTTCATAGTCCGTCTACCTCTCTTACCTAACTTCTGCATACCAAGCCTATACTCTGGCCTGATCATCGAGGATCTGGTACCAGACAACTACCTTAATCACTTTTCATATAATCCCCGACATCTATGTCTTAAAGGAGGAGGAGTTCATTTTGACAAATGTTTTTAGTCTGAAGTGTGACCACTGCAGACATGGTGAGGCTGCAGGAGTCAGAGGGAGATGGAAGGAGCCTGGGCCAGAGATGTATGTGGCCTTCCAGGTCTTGTCCTCTTCCCATCATGTCCCACCTTGCCATAGCACACTCAGCGACAGAGCTCACTAGTGGATGAGCCACTGATAAGCACAGAACTGTCATGATCCAATCACTTTCCACCTACACAAGAATTTTGGAGACACCCCACATCTAAACCACAATATTCCTGTATAGCCAATAGCCCACCAACATTATTCAGATTAGCTAATCTTGACTTTTTTCTTCTATGTGCCCTTCCTTTTCCATGGAAAACATAAAAAATGTTCTTGACTGTACCTTCACTGGTTTCTTCTGCCTTCTGGCCAGACATGTGCTTCCCTCTGTGGTCTTGCATCCTTTTCCTGGGAAATGTTAAGCAGTTCTTTCAGTGGCATTTATCGTCTCAATCTTGTTGTCACCTCTGTAACCTAAAACTGTTTACAGTTGAGATACTTTCACATATACATTGTTTGCCTCTCTTGTCATGGTTATTCGTTTTTGCTACTGTGTTCTGGCTAATTCTTCAGTTCTTAGTTTCTGCTAGATTGCAGTATACTTTTCATGTGAATTATACATATTTTTTTTCTTAACTACCATCAAAACTCAGGCTATACAAAAGAGCATTAATCTGTTATATGCAGTTTGGCCCATTTAAATTTAGTCATACTTTGTATGTCCATATAGTGTATGAATACTTGTTTGTGCATTACTGTGAATAGTTGACTCTAGTTAGTAGGATAATAAAACTTGTACTTCTTGTTTCCAGTTATCTTTGTAGATCAGTTCCACTCCTTTATGAACTAGTAAATTTTTCTGTGTGATATTTGAGCATGAACAGTATTCTTAGGTTGATTTTTGTTTCTTTTTTTTGTAATTGTATTGCCAGATACTGAGGTATCTAGGTATTAGATCTGCCTGCTAGTTTCTTATATTTGATAGCAAAATTCAGTATTTCTTAGTTCTTTTCACTGCTCTATACAGTCAGGAGCACAGTAAGCATTTATATTGCTTAATATGTTTTTGCTATTATCAACAATATGCTGAATTCTCTGCTATCATGTGGTTGTGCTATATGAAACTACATTTTGATTTTCTGTGACAGAATAGTGACCACCTCAGTTTATTATTTCAAGTTAACATAGACCTTAACATTGATTATTTTTTTCCTTAGCTGTGTTTCCTACAAGAAATTAAGTATCTCTGAATTTGTCAGTGACTGGTATGGAAGCAGCGACCTAATGTCTGTTTAATACATGAACTAGTTTATGCAGTTTGTAACAAGTTCTTTCTCTGATACTTTATCATACCTGATCTTGTTGGCCCTTAGATCTTTTCTTCTCCTAACCTCTTCATACTCGTGTTTGGTAGTCTTTCAAGCTATTTCATTAGTACATGTTCATTACATATACTGTCTGAAGTCAGATGTGCTTCTGGTAGTGAAAGTTATATTCTGGCTGTACTCTGTACCTTCTGTGTCACTTTCATGATTTGGAAACTTTGTTTTTTGTGCTTTTATTTCCAAGTCCATCACTTACCTTTGAAGTTCCTATTTATCCTGTCACTATACCAAGCTTCTTGGTATGATGTCAAAAGCGTAAATTTTAAGGTCAACATGTTTTCAAATCCTGTCACCTAGAGCAAGTTAACTTTTTAGTGCCTTTGTTTTTTTATCTTTTAAAATAGGAATTAATAAGCTTGATTAGGGTCAGGCCAACCTAAGTAAGGAATGTTGGATAATATCGGGCCTTTCACTGGGCAGTTAACTAAACATCTGTTAGTTTTCAGTATATATTCTCCAAGCTATACCATCTGTCAGAATTATTACATACCTTCAGTGGACTGTCTGCTGTGAAGAGCTAGCTTGATGAGATGATGATCATGTTTTGATGATTTGTTTTTCTTTTAAAAGGCTTTTTAAAGAAAAAAGTAGGGTGTGGAGGGTGTGGTGGCACCCACCTGTAATCCTAGCACCCTGGGGTACCCATCCAGGATTCCAAGTTCAAGCCTATCCTAAGAGCTTAGTAGGACAGTGTCTACAAACAAAACAAAACAGTTGAAAAGAGCTGGGAATAATGCCAAAAGTAAAAAGGGCCAGAGATGAAATTAGCAACATAAAAAGGTCCTGAGTTCCTAGTTCCCTGCCACCTGTACATGTGTGTACACACACAAGAAAAAAGAAAAGATGGTGAGAGATTTCACTTTGTTTTTGTATGGAAAGGACTTACAACTTTTAGATCAATGTTGTACAGTCTTTTAGGGGACTTTTTTTCCCCCCAACCTGCCTCTGTTTTTGCTTTTAGTTTCTTCTGTTTTTCCATTCTCTCGTTCAGTCTGTCTTTTTGTGGTACTGAGGATTGAGCACCCTGGGGTTTTGTGCATGCTAAGAAAGCCCAGTGATACATATGATCCTAGCTTATTTGCTTCTATTTCTTAACTTAATTCTCTGATGTGTACCCTGTGTTTTAACGTACTGCCTTCCTTTTGTCAGATTAGATAGTTTAGTTCTGGCTCATCCATTGGTCTTGACTATTTCTGTTTTATGCCCCCCCCCTTTTAATTATATATTTAGTACAGGGTCTCCCTATGCAGTTTGGACTTGTAGTGATCCTCCTGTTCTCAGCCTCCCCAGTATTGGGATTACAGGCGTGCGCCACCAGGCCTGGGGATGGGGCCAGCAGAACCTGTGGTGCCGGGGATTGAAACTCTTTTTCTTTCCCCTTTTTTGTTTGTTTGCTTGGTATAAAGAGTTGAGGGACTTTTGCACTGAGCTATGTCCCTATCCCCTATTAAAAATTGTTATTTTGAGGCGGAGTATCACTAATTTGCTCAAGCTGGGCTCAGAACATGTAAGCCTGCTTTAGCTTTCGAGAGTGCCAGGATAACAAGTGTGTTCTGTGTGATTTTATGTTTTGTCTTCGTTTTGTTTCTTATGCATAATCTCAGTTTCACATTTTATTTTTTGTTTAGTACTTCACTGTTGAACTATTTACATTGTCCTTAGGATTTTGAAGAAATTAGTGGAATGTTATTAACAATCCTAATTTAAAATTCCTGTTTTTTCATTAGTGACATTCTTATTCGATGACTTGGGAACATAAGAATGTGTTTTCAAAAGTGTAGCATAGACATGAATATGGAGTAATTAAGTCTATTTCATTGAGTGAAATTGGGAGGAAAGTTAATTTTCATGTTAGTAAAAAAACAGGTTTGTAATACAGCACAATCCAGAATAATTTTGATCTAATGTCTTCAATGACTTTAAACATGAGTAGCTGACAGTGTTGTTTGCCATGATAGCTCTCAAATAACATGAGTTATATTAAGATTTTTGAAGCAGTAGGTGAAATTAAGCTTCAATAACTGATTTTAAACTTTTTTTAGGTAAATGAATTGGTGGATGCCAGAGATGTCGGCCTTGGTGCTTGGTTTGAAGCACATATACATAGTGTTACTAGAGCTTCTGATGGACATTCACGTGGCAAAACTCCAGTGAAGAATGGCAGTTCTTATAAAAGGACTAATGGAAATGTAAATCATAATTCCAAAGAGAACACACATAAATTGGACAATGCCCCCTCTACGTCTAATTCAGACTGTGTTCCTGCTGATGAAGATGTTATTTATCGTATCGAGTATGATGAGTAAGTGCTCATGCTTGAGGACTTCATTCATGTTTTTGTTTTAGATGCGTAGCCAGGCATTTCAAGATTACTTTAGCCTTTTCGAGGAAATCAATTAGAAATCATGTTCAGTTTATTTTCATTTCTTTGTTTTGGTGAGTTATCTAATGAATGAGGACCCTTTAATTTGCAGTCATCTTTGGCTCTTAAGTGGTTTGTGTTTACCATTCCAGTAGCTGGCTTAATCAGTGCTGTCCAGAGTTCTGGTTTGTCTCTTTATTAGCATTTGTGATGCATAGTTTAGCAGTATTTTAAAGGATTTTATAACATAATCACCATTAGAATGAGTGAAAAATATTTTAGACAACTTTTTATTAAGATAATTTACATAAAATTTACTATGTATGGGGCCAGGGTGATAGCTCAGTGAAGTAAGTCCTTGTCTGGCAAGTTCAAGGTCCTGAGTTCGATCCCTGGTATCACCCAAAAAATAATAATAATTATAATGAAATTTACTATGTAACTTGAAGGGTATAATAAAATATTTTTAACTTATTTAGGAACTAATTCATATTTCCAGGATATATGGAAAGGGTCAAAAGTAAATCTCCTCTAACCTTTACGGGTAGTTCTTGTGGTGGCTAGCTTGCCAACATAGTTTAATTCAAATGAGCCATCAAACTGCTCTCTAATCCTAGGAGATTGTAATAGAACTCACGGTGAGTCTTTAAGTACTGCATTTTCCAGGACTGTGACACTTGTGGATTGGGACTGGTGTAGGAAAGATCCCGAGTGGACTTGTTGATAGTGAGCAGTCTCTGGATTTATCCATTCCATGATATAGAGGCAAGTTACTATGGTGGTGAGAGACTTCTCTACTGTCAACAAGTAAGTGTTCAAGTTCTTTATTGAGTTATATCTGGGTGAATTGGAGAAATAACTAGAAAAACTACTACCTGGAACCTTATCCTAGCCAATGAAAGAGTTGTTTCCCAGCACTCTATGAGGCTAAGATAGGGGATCATGTTGGAACTCAACCTGGGCAACTTAGTGACTTAATAGTAGTAATGGGGTTATAGCTCTATGTCAGTGTGACACCCTCCAATTCAGTGTTAGTATTGGGAGAAAAGATTGGCAAAAAAATATTGTGAAGAATGATTAAAAAGAAATAGATACATAGGCATAAAGATGTAATATGGATAAACCACAGTTTATTAAGTTTTACAGCTTTAGAGGTTCTTAAAAGATAATTTTTTCCAGTTCCCTATGCCTTACCATACCCACCATTAAGGCAGTCTGAGCCAGCCAAAAAAAAAAAAAAAATCCTCCCCCCCAAAAAAAAGATATTTTTGAAATAAGACCATCCAGTATTTGAGTTTGATGGAATATTAGAGCCCAAAATATAGTACCTTAGTGTTTATTTGGCAAATTTTCTTAATGGGGAAAATTACCTTGATAGCAAAGAATTATAGTAAAAGAGAATATAAATCCAAAATACTTAAGAAAACTAAAATTATCTGCTCTAAGTAATTATATTTTATTTTTTATTTTTATTGTTTTGGTGGAACCGGGGATTGAACTCAGGCCCTTGCGCTTGCCAGGGAAGCACTTATTCCACTGAGCCATCTCCCTGGCCTCAGTAATTTTAAATGATGAAAATAAAAGTGTTAGTACTAACAGCTTCAGCAGTGATAGCTGAATTTGCTTTGAGAAAAAGAAGATAGCGGAGGCTTAGTGGAAGGTTAATTTCAGTCACATCTTTAAAAAGAACTATAAAATACAGTGTGAGACAAAGTCATGTTTCTGGATAAAAATTTTGGGTCATATATAAAAGTCTGGTGGTATAAGAACCTAGAAAGAATCATTATAATGTGATATGGATATGATAATTCTTTTTAAAGTTTTATTCTTCATGGTCATTAGAAAAATGAATTAAGAACATAATAAAATACCTCTGGATTTCAGTAAGTCATCAAACAAGTTCTTATTGGATGGAGGATACACTGAAGAGACCTGGAGGAATCTGTGGCCTTGCAGCAATATGAAACAGGTTTAAAAACACTTTTTTTAAAACAATAATCTTGCTGTGTTGCTCAGGTTAATTCCAAAGCAAACCAGTGCTCCTGTCTCTGCCTCCTAGGTACCTGGGTTTACAGTCCCAAAAGTACACAGGTGTACCAAATATTTTTCAATGCAGAGTAGGTTCCAAATGAGTTAAGTGGAATGTGGCTGCCAAATAAGTGATGTTGTACTTTACTAAATTGGCTATTCACTACTTGATTATCCTCTAGCCCCATGCTTGAAAAACAATCCCAATAAGACTTGATGCATGTTCAGGGTAGTTCTCAAAATGTGCATCTATAAAATCATATTGAAGAGTAATTGAAATAACTAAATATTGAGCTTGAAGGACTTGGTTCAGATCTTGCCCTCTCTGTTTTTCTCACTGTGTATTAAGGATTGAATTTAGGGCTTTCTCATTGAACTGAACCCTTTTTTATTTTGAAAAAAGTCTCTGTAACTTACTGAATTGCCCAGGGTAGGCTCACATTTGGAATCCGGCTGGGTTTATAGCTGTGTGCCAGCACACCCAGCTGATAGCTCTCATATTGTAAAGGCTGTGTCTAGAAGGCTTGCACAACACAGCATTTTAGGATAATTTTAAGTTTCTACCAGTTGAGTCTCTGAAAGATAGAGAATGGACCATTCATGCCTATAATCCCAGTATTTGGGATGATAAGACAGGAGGATCACCACAAGTTGGAGGTCATTCTGGACCAAGAAGTGAGTTCCATGCTCGGTTGAACTATATAGAAGAGAGCCTGTCTTAAAACAAAATAAACAACAACAACAATAAAAATAGAGAAATGGTTTGCCTTAAGTAGGCAGTAAAGCACTGGCCATCTTCTACCGTACAGTGGGAGACTTACAGATAATGCATTGCTAAGAGAATTTACAAAGTTTATGACTGAATTAGATGACCTTTATCCCCAGTACAGTTTTTACTTCCATGACACTGTTTCTCAAAGTCATTTTTTGGGGGTACATTAAGTAGGCTTTAATCTTACTCATTCTGGTCCCTTGATAATGATTAAGTACTACCATAGTTCCCTCAATGAACTAATTTAATTTTTCTCCTACTACAGTAAGTTGAAAGCAAACTGCTTATTGGGCAAACCTGTGCATGATCATCTTGAAACCTCTGAGTGCAGCAGTGTAGCTTGAACAAGCTGTCATTTACCAAAGGTGAGGGAAGTATATTACATGGGATCAAGGAATCTGCCTCTGGAATTTCTAGAGGATTTTTAGTGTTTGTTAGTTTTAAATGGAGCTGTTAAAAAGCTATTTTTATTTAATTCTTTGAGTTGGATTGTTAATGTGTTACCCAGGCTAATCTCAGACTCCTCCCATCTTAGTCTTCTGAGTGCCTGGATTACAGACTCACATTGCCATGCCAGGTCAAAAATAGTTTTATTAGAAGCTACTCATCTAATGTATTACCAGACTAGATGAATTCTCAGTCTTGAAATGCATTCCTTAGAATGAAACTGTAGAATCAGATCAAGATTAATAAGTATTCTGTTGTACTTTTGTTTTGTACTTGGAGTTAAGAACAATATGAAGAATAATACAGTGCGAACTTCCTGAGCTTTATTAGGTAGAGGAGTTTCAAAAACCAAACAAAATCCACTTATTTAAGATATATTTATGTTTATAAACTACATATTAGATTATGTCATCTGTTTTTCTTTTTAGGTTTATAGGTAACTAAGTTCATTAAAAGTAAGTTATGCTAGGAAATGTTAGATGTTTTAAAATTTAAGTTTTGTTTTTATTTTTATTTTTGGGGGGTTTTTTTGTTTTTGTTTTTTGAGACAGGGTCTCACTATGTAATCTAGGCTGGCCTTGTCATTGAACTCACTATGATATCCTAGGCTGTCCTTGAAATCATGGTGATCCTCCTGCCTTAGCTTCCTGAGTTTTGTGTTTTCAGGCAAGTGCCACCATACCCAGCTAAAATTTGAGGTTTTTGTTATTAGGTATTTCTTTTCTGTACATTCCTTGATGAACATAGGCTGAATCATTAAAGGCTTCTTATGAAGGCTAGTTTAGCTTTAAGTCCTCTATTAGACTGTCAACTCTCGTTCAAGTTTTAGTGCAGATAAAACAGATATGAGAGCTACCATCAAAGTGCTTGATACAAAATAGGTATTTGTGATTTTCTTCTTGACTGCTGTTACATCTGTTATCACTCTCAATAGAGCTCAGTCATCATGGTTAGTAGTATTTCAAGGGAAAATTGGCAGTACGAATAGTATTAAACTTAGTCTCCAGACATCTAGGTTCCAGGAAATTCTTGAGAGAATGTGAGTGTCTTTGTATTTTGTGCAGTAGTAAGAGAATGCACGCATAGTACCTTACCACTGAGCTATATCCTGAACCCCTCTGCTCCTACTTTTTGAAGTTTTTGAGTCAGTCTTGGTAAGTTGTCCAGGTTAGTCTCAAATTTGCAACCCTACCTCAACCTCCTCAGTAGCTGAGATTTTAAATTTGCACTATTGTGCCCTATTTTAAATCATCTTTTATTTTCATTTTTATTTTTTATGTATTTGGTACAGGGTCTCACTGTGCAGCTGTTATTTGTAGTGATCCTCCTGCTTTCAGCCACCCCAGTGCTGGGATTACAGGCATGTGCCACAATGCCCAGACTCTGTGGCTGGCTCAGTGCGCCTGGGCGTGGGGCTGGTGTGGCATGTGGTGCTGGGGATTGAACCTCAGTCCCTGTGCTTGCTTAAGCAGGCAACTTAGTCCGTTGAGCTATCTCGCTGGCCCTTAATTTTTATTTTTAATAAGTACATATTTGCAGTATATGAGTACGTACCTTGTAGATAGATACTACATGCATGTAAAACATCTTAATTTTTCTCTTTCCCCTTTCTCCCTCCATCTCTCTTGGTTCCCTTCCCATTTGCAAAAGATCTATCTCCCTGTTTCCTATCTTTTGTCTTTATTTTTCTCTT